TACTCTACCTGGTATAATATCGGATAATTATTGGTAAACATGTATACTCTACCTGGTATAATATCGGATAATTATTGGTAAACATGTATACTCTACCTGGTATAATATCGGATAATTATTGGTAAACATGTGTACTCTACCTGGTATAAAATCGGATAATTATTGGTAAACATGTATACTCCATAACATTTCTTACATATGGATCGGGGCCATAAGTAAATATATAAGATGACCAAGTGTTCCTACATGCTCATTGGTTGGACCCTAATTACATTGTGGTGGGTGATTTGGTCTTTATGACGTCCTCTTCTATTGAAATATCACAAAACTATGTGCCAAATCTTGGGTTCTTTCTTTTTGTCAATTATCAAAACAGCAGCAGCACATCATACACAATAACTACATACTTTAATTGCTGAATATCACGTGATTTGGGCATGGAATTTTAAATTTTAAAAGATAACAAGTTTTATAATACTTTTACGGGTTACTAACGAGTTGTGATTATATCTGGAATTACTTTGTAAAATATGCTATAATATACCTTATGCATTACCAGAAGAGGAATTAAACTAATCGACGCATTGATTTTCAGCCAAGTGTGACATAGGAGGCAACTCTAATATTAATCAATTCGCAAATCAAATCATGACTAATAAACTCTCACCGGATGGTTTTCCACAATTTAGAGGATGTCAAGCCTTCATTAAGATATTACCTTTGCAAAGTCCATAAAAGGATTTACAACATTTTAACCAATGAAATATCGGAAATTATTCTTTAAAGAATGACTTAAATCCATTGAATATGTAAATAAGTGTACTTACCACGTGTAGGAAATTCAAACTGTACGTTAATTTCAATATAACGGACTTCATTCTGTCCTCTGTCGTCCGTCTCAAAATTTCGACCAATCACCTAATCATACAAAAGTACTAGTTTGAATACGGTATACCGGGAAAATTTCGCCGCAGTGTAACTGTCGCCCTTTTCGCCCTCCGTAATAAGGGAGAATCTGTCACGACATTGAAAATAAATACACAACCTAATACACATAGTAAAAACATATAAAGGGCGAAATTAATACTGAGCGAAAACCGTTTTACCAGTGAAAGGCGAAAAATTGACTGGGCGAATAAATTTCACGTGAGTAATCATTTATGCATAGCAAGAGACATGTAGGCCGAGAGTAAAACATGCATCATTGTCATTGCGAGAAAAAAGTAAGATATGCAAGCTCGAGAAATGAAACGTGCGCTAATCATAAGAAAACTAGAATTGATTTTTACCGAAACATTTATAATATATCCTACCATTTTGAAGAATCCGCTGTCTTCTCCATAGATATGTTGTAAAACGGAGACCAATATGTGATGGTCGTATAGACGAACGTCCACGTTTTTGACCCCAACGATTGAGTCACCAGTCCTAAAAACGACAACAAGAGTTAACCGAAATGTCAACAATACCGTCATAAGAAAGTTCATATGACGATCGGGATTAAAACCTGGACCCGTATTCGTGAACCGCTCTCATGTGTAAGCGTGATTCTGTGTTCAAAGCAACTTTCCTGTTGCTCGCTAAAGTGATGTTACCAAATTAAAAAATAACTGTAAAGTAGAAAAACGATATCAGGCTTCACGATTCTCCTAAAGACTTTCATAAATACGGTAAGGTGCTCCGAAAGCGTACTATTCCCTGTAGCGCCATTCTCGATATTCAGGGGGTTACGCTCACTTTCGCTCTCTGCACCCCTGGGATATGACAGCAAAATTGAAGGCTCAGTGTGCGCCACTTTATTGATGAGACAAGAAGACTAGTTTGATCCTTTGATATACATCAAAAGAATCGTGCGGTCACGTAACGGTAAACATTGACAGGCTTTGAAGTCGGGCGTTTCTCCTTTGTAGTCTTTAAAGGACAGGCATCAGTCTAGCGACTGGTGAGTTTTTTTACCCGAGACCAATCATACAGCTATTTTCGTGCCTTCAATTTTGCTATGACATGTTCCAAGGGTGCAGAGAGCGAAAGTGAGCGTAACCCCTGGATAACGTGGATGCTGTAACGCATTTTCTTTTGCAATAAAAGCCGAATAACATAGTGATAGTCTAGGGTTTGTAATTGGAGTCAGTCAGTAGGCCACACGAAATGTTATTATTATTCCTTTCTGAATCAGTACAATACCATATTGGAAAGGTTGAATACTTACTGAAGACTCATGTGCTGCACGTGGCTGTTATCATTGTCGTTTACACAAATCGTGTGACCAGATAATCGTGATGACGTCAGAGAAAACCCAGCATTTTCTTTGTGTGATCTAGTTAGTTGAAACTCGATATGAGTTTGACGTTCTTTGAAGTCGTCATTCTAGAAAAACAGAATTCTTTTAAAATAAGACTGACATTTATTTTATTTAGTTCGACATGATGTCCACTACATCACGGTACGTTTGCACTATCAATGCTTATATGCTTGAATATTTTCTGTTTAGTTCTACATGACGTTAAATATTGGTAGATATTTTCTGTTTAGTTCTACATGACGTTAAATATTGGTAGATATTTTCTGTTTAGTTCTACATGACGTTAAATATTGGTAGATATTTTCTGTTTAGTTCTACATGACGTTAAATATTGGTAGATATTTTCTGTT